CAAAGACAAGAAGTTGGCGTTAGAAATCATTTAAAGACAATGTGAGACCATCACATCTTCTTTCTGTCCATCTTTAGTCTACGTGTGCAGAGGAAAATTGTCTTCTCCACTGCACGCTTGTCACGCCAGTCTAATGAGCTGCTGCTGCTGTTGTTCTAGGTGTGCTTTCAATGGCCAATGCAGGACCCAATACAAATGGATCTCAGTTCTTCATTTGCACTGCAAAAACAGACTGGTAGGTTCTCAGCCCTGCGTGTTAACCTCATGAATTGATGTCTGGATCCAGAGGAGTTGGGGTTTTCTTAGGGTTGTGTGTTGGTTTCTTTGTGGGTTGATTTTTTTGTTTGTTTAGTTGGTTGGTTTGTTTTGGGGGTTTTGTTTTTCTTTTTAATTTCCAAAGTACTTGACTCACAATGGAAAATAAATTGTTTTGTGCCACTTGACAGAGGAAGGGCTGTGAGAGTAACAAGGCTGCTATCCCTCATAATGCTTCTAAGGTCAGAGCTAAAAGTATTTAATGTCATTTGTAGAGCAGTTGTGTCTTTGCCATAGCAGTTGATGGGTTCATTTTGGTTCAGTCTTTATGTTGTTTTAAGTAAAACTGATTTTGTTTATTTGTTTTACAGGCTAGATGGGAAACATGTTGTTTTTGGGCATGTAAAGGAAGGAATGGATGTCGTGAAAAAAATTGAGAGCTTTGGTTCCAAGAGTGGAAAGACCTCCAAAAAGATTGTCATTACTGACTGTGGCCAGCTGTCCTAGCCTTTTGCCCTGCCATTCAGGACAACTTCGATGCTGTGAAAAACAATTCATAAAAAACCCCAAACATTTCTGATCCCATGAGTAGCACCTACAGAACCTTATTTTCTATTAAACTTGGTCCAACTTTTATACTTTATTGAATAGTACTGATTACAAGCACCAAACGGTAACTGAAACATGTTTTAACTGAGCTACCTTGGTAGTCATGCTGTCACACTGGTTTGGTAGAGTCCCTTTGCATCTTGAAAAAAGTGGTGAGGTCCCCAGGAGCGTATCTGACTGCAGTGTTGATACTGTTGTTTGTATCTGGATGTTTCAGGTGTTAGAATTGGTGGTGGAGTTTCGTAGGTGGGAGTTAGATATAAATTGAGAAATGTTGTGTTTCCTTTGGTGCTAATAAACACCTATTCTCTTGTTCGTCTCATCACTTTGAAAAAATAATACTAACTAGTGCTCTCAGGGTTGTCTGCGACATGACTGTCAGACATTTTCTTTCTGTGTCTCAATTTAAGTATACTCAATAGAATTAATGTGTGCTTGTGGAGGTTTTAAAATTAAGTATGTTTTAATGGGGGTTTTTTGATTTTTTTTTTTTTTTTTTTCTTCTCAGACCACTGTTTAAAACTGAACTCTACCTTACCTTGCTTCATTGGAGCTGTTTGACTTCTGGGTTAAGCAAATTGCCTTAGGTTGAGTTGGCCTGCTACTGGAGCTCTGGGCAGTAAGACCACAAATTAGCCAAAAGATCATGGGACTTTTTTATTATGCAACTGTGAACTTACTTGAAGTGCAGTTCTGCTCCAAGATCTGGTTCTGTGAGGAATACAGCACAGTTTCTCAATGGATAGCCTGTTTTTGCACTTTGGGAATATAATCGGAGCATAGTGAGCTTGTTTGAGTGAGAAATAGGTTTCATTGCTTTTCTGTCCTGTTGGTCCTGTGAAGTCAGCCCACCTTGGGTATTGCTTGGATTATGATTTCTTCTCTTGCAGCATCATCAGAAGTCAAAATTGATCACCACAAAACACAAGGCCTAATTGCAGCAAAATCAGTATTGTTGGGGTTGATGTGCGAGAAAGACAGACCTCAGCAGATCAGATAAATACATTTTGTTTGTATGAACGGGTATGTTTTATGTGGAGCGCTTGAGCCATAACAAATGTTGGAACCTCGCAACATAACTTTTAGAATCGCTAAAACTGTGAAGAATTAATGCTTGTGGGGAAGAAGCACTTAACTGTTTTTGTGCAATAGTCTTGTTACCAAAGAGAAAAATGTGATGGCTCTCTTCAAATGTGAATTTGCTTCCATTGCGTACTGATATGTGGGTTTAAAGCTCTTTTGCACTGGATTTTTTTTCCACCAATGGCTGCGTTCTTGTGTGCACGAGGTAGTATTCAGAGTATGATTTTGCAGAAAATGGAATCGAAAAGCTTTTTGTTCTTTCCACTATAGCTGTTTCATCTTTCTTTGTAGTATTTTTGAAGTATTAATTTGTGCTGGTTTGGCTTATTTGAGTTTGATAGAATAATGATTGTATGTGTGTGTGTTGTCTAAATTTGTATATGAAAAAATAATTAAATACAGTTCTACCACAAAAAAAAAGTCTGTTCCTTGCTTAAATATGACTTTCACACTTCCTTGAAAGCGGGAGTGTGAGGAGCTGAAACCTGTTGTGTTTACTCGGGCTGTTCTACTCCATCTGCTCTGTGATGGCTCCGATCTAGCGGTGTTCAGAAGCCACGCGTCATTCAGAGGCACAGCCAGCAAGAGACGGGGCAATGGTGCCATGCTTTGCTTCTTACTGGTGAATCTGAAGTATCTGGTGTATGGATAGTGGCTCAGGTTTTGAGGCTGTTCTCTTGTCTGACTGGTTCCATCAATTTGCAGAGATAATGGGGAAAGTGTAAATTTACTGGGTGGTGTGGTTTTAAATTTTTTAATTCCTTTTCAAAAAGTTCTTAGTTCCAGCTTTTTGCTGGACAATTGAGGAAAACCTCATTCCTTGCTATGTGGTCACAGATGATGACCTTAAGAATTTAGCATCTTCCTGTGTGACAGCGGTATTTGTGGACTGGAAGGCCCAGTGGAGGCTGCTTTGCCACAAACCAGTCCATTTTCACAGAACGGTTAAGCCTTAAATAAGTAATAGTAGTATGCATGTTATAGTGATCTGTTACGTATGGGAGTGGCTTTTACGGACACATTTATGGACTAACTTGAAATGTAAAAGCCAAAATTCTCCATCAAGGCTCACAGTCGACTGGAAGGTAAGTATTAAGACCTGCAGAATCACTGTGGTTAGTCGATGGGGCTGGCTTTGGTGTCCAGATACCGGTTCTCTGCATACTCTTCTCTGCCAGAAGACAGTCTTTGCTTAGAGCAGTGTAAGGTGAGTCTTGACATATTGACAACCTAACCAGGTCAGTCTCTTGAAGTTGTCTTCTATAAAGTATCTTCCTCAAAAAGGGTTTGTCTGGTGTTCTGTTCTTCCTGTTTTTTCTTTTTCCTTCCCCTCCACTTCCCTATATTTAAAAATGAAAAGGCACAGAGCTCTGTTCCAGTCTAAGTCTTGCAGCCTGCAGCATTGCAAGAGTGTTCCTATACTGAAAATACAGCTTGTACCAAGTATACTCGAGGTAATTTTAAGAGGTGGTTGTGGCACGACAGAACCCCACAGCAAGGGTTGCAGGACCTCGGCACACTGGATGGCTGTCCCTAGCCCTCTGTGGTCCTGTGGTTGTCAGGCTTGGGCAGCAGTCAGGATTGCAGGGTTAAGTACACAGAAATGGGCCTTTGTTAGTAATTCTGTGCCACAATCTAATTTTTTACAGGATACTGTTTGTCTCTCTCCTGTTAGCCCTCTTGTATCACAAACAGCTACCAGGACAACAGGGTTCTCCTTTTGCAGCCTTGCTTGGTTTTCTCAGCTTCGAAACCATGGGCTAGAACAGGAAGAGTTTGGCAGTGCTACCACTTGTTTGTGACTTCCTTACCCTGGGACATTGTACCCCTTCATAGCGAAATGAAACGTTATGACAACAGTAATCTCTGCCCCACAGCTCTGTTGTGTACAGAAAAGGACTTTGACTTCTAAAGCTAATCCACTTCAACTGTGAGATAGGAAACTGCCCAAAATTATTTTTTAAATACATTTAGATGTTAGATGGATATGCTTTCCTTGTCTTCTGCTGGTAAAAAGCATTGATCTTAAAGTAATTCAGAACGTGGTTAATTTTAAAGCAGTTGAGTGATCCCAGAGCAACTAATGTTATTCATGTATATATTAAAGATGTGAAAAATGGCTGCCATACAAGTTGAAGTACGGTGTGATGTTCACAGCCCCTGGCCGGTGATTCGTTGGTTCAGTGCTGCTCCAGCACAGCAGCTCTGGGGCAGAGCTGGCACGTGGCTGGGGCGTCCTCAAGTGCCGGGGAGTCCCCGCTTTTGGGGTAGCGGAGGATCAGATAAAATCTCTCCTTTGCTGTTGTAAGAAAGGGGCGTTCCCACCAAATGATCAGTGTGCCAATTATTCCCGCCCCCCGGCAGAGTGTTTGATTGCAGTTCCCATGTTCGGTTTGGCCCTTGGCCACCGTCCCAGGTCACAGACGGGCGGTGGACTGGGCGCCTTCACAGCAGTTCAAGCAGCTCATCCACACGCAGCCGTCTCGGGGCCGTGGCAGGCCGTAGTGGCCGGCCGCCTTTCAGGCCCCTCCGGCCTGTCCCGCTCCCCGCGAGATGGCGCCACACGGCCGCGCATGGCGCGCCGGGCCGCCGCTGTGACGCCAGCGCTGGCGGCGTCGGGGGCGCGTGTTCCGTCACAGCGCAGTGCAGGAGCCAGAGGTGACAAAGCCCCGCCAAGTTCAGGCGAGGTGAAGGTAGAACGACAGGAGCGCGGGTAACCAACTGTCCCGCGGCTTCCCTTGGGCTGCGCCGGCAGGTTAGGAGCTGCCCTCAGGGACTCGGCAGTAGCGGAGCTGCGGCGGTGGGTCTCGCTGGGGCAGGCCTGCCGTCCCTGGAGGGGCGGCTTCAGCTCCTGCGGGGTGCGAAGGCAGACTGGTAGAGTAGGGCCTTTCCCAGCCGCGGCCACACGTGGCCATGGCCTGCGGCTTACCGAGGTGCGACGGAAGGTGTTAGAATGGCGTGTGTCGCCTGAAACGGTTTGGGGGGCCGCGAGTTAGAAATCCTGCACAGCTCTAACAGGTCACAGAAGAGAAAGGGAGGTATTCGCTATGGAGCTGTGGTGTGAGATGAGCCGAGGGGTGGCGGGAGTGTTACTGCAGGTTTTCACCTGGATGTTTAGAATAGGAGCTTGCAGACTGGAAGAGAGGTTGGCAGGTCCAGGCTGCCTCTGGGGTGAGGCATGGGCACGGCAGGAAAGGAGCCTGCAGAGTGAGCTCCACGGTGGCTGCCGCTGACGGACTTTCAAATGCAAACACAAGTAAGAAATAACATGCTCGGAGAGCACCCTTAGGTAAAGTGTAAACAAATATACACAGAAAAAATTAGTTTATATTTTAGAGTTGTTTCAACAAACTCACAAATGTTTTTGTTTAGTCTCATGTTTTAATTATTTGTTCCAGATTTCTGCTTACATCAATCGCTTTCTCTGGTGGTAGACTGAGGCTATGTCTCTGTTTATAAAGCTCAAATGCTTTGAAGTCAAGACATTTGAGGTACAAAGTGTTGTTCTCTTTTGTAATGCTGCTTACTCTGCTGGTAGCAATATATCAACAATCAGAACCTCAAAGAAGTGAATTACTTAGAGTACAAATCATTTTATGTGACATTTCAAGAACAATCTGGATGTCCTGCTGCTAGCTGGGAATTTGTAGTTGGACAGACACTTTCTACCCAATTTAGAACTAACCAGCCTACAAAGACATCGACCTTCAAGTGAAAAACTTTTAAATCTTGAACTGCAGGTTCTGTATTGAGTCTGACTCTGTTTAAAGACGTTGTGTGAAGCAGCTGATCACAGGTGAATTTTGGCCCAAAATCTTCAGAGTCCAAAACATCAATATGTTGCACTGTCTAACTGGAAATTGAACCTTGGCAACAATTGTCCTAAGCCTTGATGTTCCTTCTCCAGTATCAGCACTCTGATTTTTTCCAGTACAGCTCTAGATATGCCTTTTCCATGCTCTTCTGCCTCCATGTGGTCTACATGTCTGCCAGGGGATGCTGCACAGGGTGCTGTGGCCACCCAG